AAGCACACATGCAGTATATGACAACGACGATCCTTTGTTCTCTCGCGGGAGGCCGGGGATTGTTGTCGTCGCTGCCGCTGTTGCTAGGATCATTTGCCAACGCGTGTCAGTCTATTTCTCCAGCACAGACCTGCGTGTACCGCACATATGTACGCGCACGCTTATCAATGCGCACTATATTTCGCACGAGTTTGCGAGCCAATTCATACGTTGCACAGCTTCTCGTGCTGTATATACTCTACGTATGCGTACGCGTCGTTGCTGTATCGAGCTATACATAGTCGAACCTGCTGCCGTATGCGTGCGGTGTTTAATGAAGCGAAAACTGCGCACATACTGCCGAAGCTTTTTCCGAGCTTTTCTCTTTATGAAGCGCGCGTCCGCTCGCGCGATGCGAAGAGGAAAAGGAGCCTAGCCTTTGTAGCATTACCGAGTTCGAGATGCGCGAGCACACTAAGATATGACACGAGTCAAAAGCACCAATGTCATGTGCTTGGATCCCCCCTTTGATGGAGCATTTTTGGAAAAATAATTTCTTTCTTACGATTTTACGCTGAGTATACGAATAAATCTCACAGAAATAGCTGTATCTCAGGGAAAAGTAAACATTTTCAAATTATTAAAAAGGGATTAGAAAGGACAAGATAAATATTTTCGTAAATTTGAATGACAAGATTGTTTTAGATTTTAAGCCTCCTATAAGACTTCAATATCAACTTCAACCGCTAGATGACGAATATCTTTATTTGCAAATCTGCAAGTAGTTCAGGGGAGATACATGTATAAGTACGATTCTACTGCGCGTATACTGTGCGTATAGTAACTCAGCAGATCGCAGACGTGTCACCACGTGCACTTAAAGACGCCTCGTCTGAGTAATTTAATTAAAGTAATTTCGTGCGATTCGTTGTGAATGATTAATACACGCATTTGTATTGAATTACTATGAGAGAGAGAGAGAGAGAGAGAGAAAGAGCGACAAGCTTTGATTAACAAAATGATGCATACACATGCACAATAAATCTAGAGAGAGAGTTAATTTAGATTACACGTAGCTCTTGCGCTCCTCTCTCTTACACTCAAGACAGACTACTCGAAAGCTGCACTCGAGTCTCTCTGTCTCTTTCTCGCGCGCACGCCGCATTTGTTTTTCCAAATAACAGACGAAATAATTGGCGAAACAAGGCACGTAGCTAATCGCGCGACATTGGAACTGCCAAATGGCTAAAGATACACCCGCCCCTCGGCAAATCTCCATTTATCTTTCCGTCCGTCGCCTTCTCTTTCTCTCTTGGCCACTTCTATGCGATTTACCTCGCGCAGATGCGTTTGCATTTCGAATTGGAACGATCGCCGTGTCGCGCGCCGCGTTTAACTAAATCGCTGCAGAATTTTAAATCGAGATGCAGATTAGTTGCTGACCGAGGGAACTTATTTCATAATCGTTTTAGTTACTTTCGAATTTTGATACCACTGCATCTGCACTTTCTACATGCAGGACCACGGTGGATACGAGAGGATATAATGTATTTTTTTTCTTTACTTTTTCCGTTCCTAATGTAGCTCACTCGGCACCGGCATACATAAAGTTGCAACTTGGCACTTTCTTCATCCCTTTTTGACTGCCGCGCGTGTTATTAAAGTTACAAAGCGAGCGACAGAAGAAATCTGATTATACGCATAGTTTTCAGCGAGAGAGCTTGCGAGACTGTGCAGTCAGACTCTATAAACGCAAAAGAGCGGCGTCCAAGAGACATCATTTGTATAAACACACAGACGCGGACACACATAAATACACAAGCGTGCAACACTGGTATGCGCACACACGCACGCGTACGCTACACACCGGCTGGGAAATTCTTTTTCACCTAATTACTTAAATACAGCAAGCGAGGCGTGCATATAGTGTGCAGCTAGCTAGCTGCTGTTGGAGCAAAGCGAAATCTTTTGAAAGGGGGCAAAAAAGAGTCTCGTGCGCGCGCTGTAAGTTTTTCTCGCGTAACATAGAGAGCAAAAAAAACCCGGGGAGAAAAAAAGGGAGGCAAAAAATAGCAACAACACGCAAAGTTTTCGTCTGTGTGCGCGCGGCGCGTGCATTTGTATACGCATTAATTCGTGAAAATGCACTTTCATAAGTTTTCTAGACAAAGTATACATATAATTTGTAATTAGCTTCTTCTCCAGCACTGCTCGAGCTACAATGGCTCTGCTGGTGCTGCCACGGCAGTAAAAGTGAATATTACCGCTCGCGAGCGTATTACGGGCGCCTTATCTTTCCGAATCTCTGTATATGTCCTACGTACATGGGCGCGCGGCGCGTCATGCTACACGTTTACGAGGCTGATATGCAAAAAGACTGTCTCGCTGCTGCTCTCTACGTACGTATCGAGGTGCACAGAGTCGCATGCTCCATCTGGCAAGTACGGTAGAAAATATGTGGCATGCTCTTCCCTAATATACATCGCAATTGGTTTTTTAAATTTTTTTTGCGCACGGTCGTATAGACTTTTGTAAGGGCCGTAGCTAAGGGCTTTTTCATTTTTAAGCTGAAGTAAACTATGAATGCTTTGGAGCAAGGTTCCATGAAACTTCGTAAATGAGCGTAATGCTAATGTATATTTTTTGAAATCAAGAACAGGATGTTAAATAACATAAGATATATAAGATTATTTGGGACATAACAATACCCGCCACGTGTAGAGCACGTGAACGAGCGCATACGTATATAGAGATGTTTTTTAACTTCCAGTGCATCTGTCGTTGTCTCCCTCTTTCTTTCCCCGTCGCACTCTGAAGCATACGACATGCTCTTTTGCCAACTGTTCTTATTCGCGCTCGGGTCTCTATATTACTTCAAAACTACGGCTGCGGCTGTTGAAGTATATAGTGTGTTGCACTCGGCGAATTTTTCACCGAGTTCGTATATACGTACACGCGTATACACGCATACGCTGTACTCTAATAACAGTCATATTGTGGGCTTCGCGCTGCGCACCCTCTTAGTCGAGAGCTTTTTCACCAAATTTTCTCTCCCTCTCTCACTCGCAGCCGGAGAAAAAGAATTTCTTGTGTATAAAAATTACGGTACCACGCGCGCAAAATTTCGGCACGGATTTTACATTAAAAAAGAAAAGAAGAAGTAAAAAGCTAAAGCAAGATTGCGTCCCGTGTTGAATTTTATTGCGAGATATAATTCGGAAAATTATCGAGAAGAAAGGCAAATTTCGTTTTATTGAGTACCGGCATATAAAATAATTCCTCGGTGAACTTCGGAGCGCCGCGTTTTATCTCACAAGGGCATAAACGCTATGAGATATATAGACTCGGGCGTTGATTCACTCCTCGTTATAAGTGAGCGAGAAATTCGTAGCCTTTTCTTCATTTTTTTTGAACCCGAAATTTCACTTTGCACTCGGCGCGAGTATGAGATACGAATATTGATAATTTACTGGAGCATAAAGTTATTATATCATTAGTCCCGTTGGAGAGTCGGTCGAACGGTTACATCGTATTGTCGAGGAGAGTCTCATCTGCGCGGATCAGCACAAAGCAGTAGCAGCACCGGCAGCAGCAGCAGCGCAGGAGAATAATCATCGCCGCCATCTGGTATAATAATCATAGCTTCAATTAGACATAACCGCACGGAGAGAGGCAGTGCAATTGCCAGTACGCGAGATATAATCTACGTTTTTCATCTGACGAGGGAGAGAGAGAGAGAGAGAAGCTTCACTCTCACGTAATCGCCTTAATTTCCGTGACTATGAGATCTTTTTTAACGTGGCGCTCTCGCAAGCTCGCAAGCTCGAGTATCAGCTCACTAAACGAGAGTATCACTCCACCTCCGGAGCATATACGCGCTGCTGCTGGTGTGTAGCAGCAGCGGTAGCAGCAAATCTGGGCCCCCTCCGTTAAATATGCTTATACCTCCGGAGTCGGGCAACGGCGTTAAGCTATAGTTTTCAATACGAGCTCGAGCGTAGTGCATGAAAGCGTATGATGTTATCAACGTGTGTGTGTATACGAAACGAAATTGTGACTTTTGCTAACGCGCCAGTTGTGGCATCCCGGAAAATATTTATACGCGCTGTATACGCGTGCTTGCAGTGCAGTGCAATTTCTTCCGAGCCTTTTTGGCTTTTCATTGCGGGCTAATTCCGTCGACAATAGGGCCTAGTAGTCGGCTGTAACGATCCGGGCTTTTTGTCACGAATTTTATTATATATATAAGAGGAGATAAGCGAGAAAAATAAAAGACTTGTATAAAGAGCTGCAGACTCACGAACACATACTCCCGCGGATCTCGCCAGCTTCGCAGCACATACAGAGAGCAGTAAGGCTTTCAAAAAGCTTTTGTTTGCCCAGCGAATTTAATGGGAATTTACGACTCAGCATCTTGGACCATTAAGTCGTAATGATACCTGGCTGCAAGTATATACTTGACTGACGCTTATACCGCTTCTTGATGGCTCTTTTAGGATAGAAATTAAATAACGTTTCCGAGCGCGAGCCCTGGATCGATCGTCGCTTACTTTTTGGCAAGTTATATCTGGATCGAAGTTTTATCGATATTTTAATTTTCATCGGTTTTTTTGCTCGTACTACGTGCAATCTTTTTACAAATGTTTCCTGGTTACTAACAGTTTTTCTAGTTTTACTCGACTAACACTTGACTCGAATTCGATGAATTGGACAAATACAGTAGTTAACAACCAATTTTTTCTACTAATCGGGTTTTTATTGAGTTTTTTAAACTTTTTTATTTGTGCTATATTATAATTTTTTTTTATACTTTTAATTTGTGCACAGATAACTTTGGTCTCGATAAGATGCCAGGATAATAAATATATAATTTGAAATCTTTTATTTTAAATGACCATCGAAATAAATTTTTTCAAGTTTATTCATTAAAATTACATCAAAAATCTACAGAGAAATAACACTAGACATATAGAAATAAAGCAAATGTGTTTATCGTCATTACGAGCTCTAACCCGTTGTTGTCGCTAAGAAAATTTTTAACAATTCTTCACTCGTCAGATGCTCAATGATTATATCACTTCTCTCAATTGACAGCAGGTTTCGCGACAGCTCCAAGAAAGGATCCAGAACCCATCTCCACGAAAATCCCCTCGATAGTTTTTTGTTCAAATGCCCAACCAAAGTCGTAAAATTACTTATAGTTGTGTACTAAATTTTTGTGTTTATTGAGGCTACTTTTTTTCCCAAATGATTTGGGACAAATCTGACATTCGAAGAGTTTGATACGATTATGTACTGCATTTATGTGATATTTTAGAGTATCCTTTCGACCATATAATATGTGACAAATCTCACATTCGAAGGGTTTGATACGATCATGTACTGCATTTATGTGATATTTTAGAGTAACCTGGCTACCATATAATTTGTGACAAATATCACATTCAAAGGATTTGATCCGATTATGTACTGCATTTATGTGAGTTTTGAGGTTTCCTTTTTCTCCAAATGATTTATGACAAATGTCACATTCAAAGGGTTTACTCTGATCATGAACAGTACTTGTATGTTTATTGAGTGTTTGTTTTTGTCCAAATGATTTTTGACAAATGTCACATTCGAAGGGTTTACTTTGATTATGTACTGAATTTATGTGCCTTTTCAGTTTTTGTTTAACTCCAAATGATTTGTGACAAATTTGACATTCGAATGGTTTGATACCATCATGTACTACCTGTTTGTGATCTTTGAGGTGACCTTTTTGCCTAAATGATTTGTGACAAATTCCACATTCGAAGGGTTTAATCCGAGTATGTACTGTATCTGTGTGAGTTTTCAGGTTACCCTTTAGTCCAAATGATTTATGACAAATGTCACATTCAAAGGGTTTACTATGATCGTGTACTGCCTGTTTGTGACCTTTGAGGTGACCTTTTTTCCTAAATGATTTGTGGCAAATGTCACAGTTGAACGGTTTGCTCCGATTATGTACTGTATTTATGTGTGTATTGAGTTTACACTTTTGTCCGAATGATTTGTGGCAAATCTCACATTCATACAGTATAAAACCCTTATGTGTCCAGTTAATATGTGTATTGAAAATTGCTTTACCTCTATGAGTTTTTCGACTAATTTCATTTTTATCAAATAATCGAGTTTGAGAAGTTTTTTTTAATATTCCAACCTCGTTATATTCTGCATTTTTCAATCGTGCATTTACTTGAAAAAGTCGATTTTTGTGATAGTCGAAATTTTTTTTAATTAAAATGATTAGGCTATTTTCGTCCAAGTAACTGGTCTGAATTTCGTTTTCCACTTTTACAGCAGGTGTACAACTCTGATACTCAGTTTTGCAGATGGTTGACGATAAAGCCTTCAATTCAGGTTTAACGTTTTTGCACTCAAACTGTATAGATATATTTCCATCTAACTTTTCGGGCAGCACAACTTCATTTATGTGATTTGCCTAAAATTAAAATTACGTAATAGTTTTGATAGTGGAGAAACAAAACTTAATTAAGATCATTAAACTTACTGATGTTTTATAAAACGTGAATGTTTTAACGTCTTTCACTTCACAAGAGTGTACCGAATCAAAATTGTAATCGTCGTCTGCTTCTGACCAAGGATACTTCGGTTCTTCTTTTATTCTAAAGAATCAAGTTTCATATTATTTCAAATAATGTTATGAAATAAACATGAAAATTATTACCTAACTATGTCCTCGTTGCTTTCCATCGCTCATTTGATAATGTGTATTCACCGTGAATTTTCACTATTCTCACTGAGAAAATATTTGAGGTTATATGCCTCACGTAGCCAATACTGTATTTTGAATTCACGAATTTGTAAACATTTGCTCACTGAGGAATTCCTCGACAGCGACTGTACGCACTACTGGAGATTAGCGAGGTGACCCCGCAATCGTGATAGTTCTTTGGCGATACTTTCCCCCACCACCATCGACCGGTCGTGCGCAGAAGTTTTTATGTGATTCGTACAGACAATGATACATGTTAAAAGTACACCAAAATTGCAATGAAGATTTTATTCATTCATGCGTAAAATTAAATTACACATACGGGCGCGATATAATATTATAAGGAGGGCTATATAAAATATGGAGTAACTTCGATCTCTCACCTCGGCTAAACAAATACAGCTGTTTTTGCCCCAGCGTCGTGCCATGAATCTAGCCAAACAGCCCTGGATAATTACTATGCCTCACTCTGCGTCGATGTAATCCTGACGTATCCTCTCTGCAGTTGCCATAGGCTAGCTGCTATATTGCACCCACCCGGTCAGGTCAACAGTCTCTCTCTCTCTACCTCGCCGGTCTCTGCACACGCGTTTCTCGTCAATCTCTTGGCGCTTTGATTTTATTGCCTTCCAAAGCCATCTACGTATATATGCGTACACGTTGTACAAAGAGCAAACTGTACGACGTATAAGAACAGCCATCGGTGTCTTCGTATTAGCTTGCCGATGGTAAAAACTAAAGCTAGATAAACCCGCGCAAGAAGACGTGTGCGCGAGAGGAGGATCTCTTCTGGCAGATATATATATCTATGTAGCCAATGAAGGGAATAAGCTCGTACATTTTCTCGAGCTTCAAAGCTAACGTACACACAGACACAGACACACAGATAGAAGCACACTGACAGAAACACTTTGAGTCATGAGGACGAGAAAACCTTGGTACTAAGGTAGGATAACATTTGACTTGCACGAGAACTATTATCCTTTTATGAGTAGAGAATTCATCTTCTCGCCTCGCGAATTGTTTTTACTGAGAATAAAATACTATCGCCGAGGCATCGTTTCAAACATCGAGTTGAAAAATAATTTAGCGCTACAATTACAGCGGCTGTTTAATTATCGCGCGATAATTATCGAGCTGATATTCTTTTGTACCGAAGTAAAATTTTGTGTAAATGCGATATTTGTAAATGAAATTTTTTTTCGAAAAAATTTCCTTCTTTTTAAACTCAATTATGCCGTAGGAGGACTTAAACTCCAACCGAATTTATTTGAAGTTATTACAGCGGAGATTAACTGTTTGCGCACGGCTGTATATCGAACGTATATCCGAAGGGTCGATTTATTGTTTCAAAACATTTGTGCGACGCGCAAAAAACAAAATCGAATGAAAAAAATTACTGCACTTGTAGCTGCTGCACGTACGTCGTGCTGCTGCTGCAGCGATTGTTGCAAAATAATGCGAGCAGAAATTTACCGGGCGCAACAAAAAAAAAATACGATGAAAAATAAATACGTTATTTTTTTAATTTAAACAACTATAAACAATGACAGGTGTTGGACGATATACACAAGTAGCCGTGCGACGACGCGTAAAAATATAACCCGCTACATCGAATTTTGAGCGGATCAGTTGAGAAGCCTTTCAAATGCAGTTTTTTTTTTGAATCGATCAAAAAATGAATTTCGTGCGTACATGCGAACCAATTTGGGCGAGTTTTCGAAATAATAAAAATCAGTTCACGCATTATTCATAAGACCTCGAGGCTCGAGCGTGCGCCTCTTTACCGGCATGCACGTACCTCACAAAGTATCGAATATCCACTTCGCAAATAGGCAGCGAGCTCGCGTGAATGCACTTGGAAATCGCGAGTGATTCGATAGCAATTGATACGTATAGCAGCAACTCGGTACATACGTGTGATATACATACGGTATGCAGGTGTATGTGTGTGTGTGTATGTTGGCTGGCTCGGAAAGCCACGAGTGACACCACAAAAGACTGTTGTGTTGTGCGCGCGCGATAGAATAGAGTACGCAGCCACCCCCGCGACGAGTGAGAGACTGCGCGCGGTATCAAGTAAGTGTATAAAACTCAAATACCTACGAGACAGCCGCCGGTATATCGTGTGTGTACGCAGCTTCTATTCACGTATGCACGCGTTTAGGTAAACCAGTTTTATCTGCGCATTGAGCTTCTCTTTTTCGTTTTCTTTCTCGCTCTTTAGCCCGGGATGTATCTGCAAAAGCCATGTATCACGGGGGGAAAAAATGATAAAAATCTCCAGGCAGTCAGACGGGGGGTTTGAGTGTGTGTACACGCGCGCGCCTCAGCAAGCAGAAAGAGCTAAATTTTGAGGAAAATATCAGCGGATGGACTGTAAACCGCGCACACCGTAGTAAACAGGCGATAAAGTGGTGGACGCGCGAAAACGAGTAGTAAAAAGTACTGTGCACACACACAAACACACACCGAGTGCATCGGTCGAAAAAACGAAGGAATGTAAAGATAGCCACGCGCAGTAGTTTTGTACTACTGCAGCAGCAGCTCGGGCGAGGCGATTCATAGCGTTTTGATCACCGGTGGCTGGCTTAGAAAATAAAAAAGAATTGATATGACTCGAGAGCTGCTGCTGTGGTGCGGTGCAGCGCAGGAAGAAAGGGCTGATAATGATAAATAAATGAAGACGAATGAGAAACGAGGGCCATTCGCTAGCTCGTACATATATATCGCCCTCGCTCCCTAATAATCGCAAAAAACAAGCGAAACAAGTCCTAATGTTACCCGGAAAAAAAATGCCAAAAAAGAAGACGAAGAAGAAGAAGAGAGAACAACTGTATGACGTGCGCGCATCTATACAGTAATTACTTTAATAGAGATTTGGTACCTCCGAACGAGCAGTTTTTGCACGAAACTCGAGGAGCTCTCGCTCGCGAAACTTTTTCAAACTCTCGTCTCTTTTATCTTTTCTGTTTGCTCATCGCGCGAGTACGTGCATATATATACATCGTGCGCGTGCACAGATCGGGATTCATTTCCCCGTTGATGATGCGCACTTTTCTTCGACGTTCTACCCCGTGTATCATTAATTTACCACAGCAGCAGCAGCAGCAACGTACAAACGCGCATCACGATTATGTGCAACGCGAAAATAGCTCGCGACCTACTTTATACCGCCCGAAATATATTAAAAAATTTTGCAGTCGCTCCATCGTCGGGGATGAATTTCTCTCTCGAAATAGTGCAGTAGACATGTAGCGCGCGCAACCCTATGTATAATGCTACAGAGTAGACGTCAGAATCGTTCTGGCTCATGGGTAATTGTTTTCATTGCAGTGCGTGGGAAGAACTAATATTTGCGCTCGAGTAAACGGTAGATTATTTGCATGTAGATCTGCAGCTCGAAGCACGAGAGATAGAGATAGAGATAGAGAGAAAATGTTAGTGTAATGAAAGAGAAAGAGTCATAAAAAAGAGAAGAAAAGATAGAGTAAGAGAGACGTATAGAAAGGTTGAAGGAGGAGTAATCGTATAGGTGGATGGAGAGAAAGTTTAAGCGGAAAGGGGCTATTCCCCGTGCTTTTAAACTCATGCGCGCGCGGATCAAAAGTCGAGCAGAGGCAGCGGCAGCAGCAGCAGTAGCAACGTCCTTCTCTACGTCCTAATAAAACGGCCAAAGAGACAAATGGCAAAGTATGTATATATCTACGTATGGACGGCAGAGACGAAGAACTAAAGCCCGAAGCATTTCTGTGTGTGTGTATGTGCTTTCATGCACCCACGCATTTGCATTTCACTCGTTTCACTTCTATTGCTGCCATTGGCCCATGCTCGGAATTATACTTAGATATATGTATGTGACACGTGGCACTCCGCTACTTTGGAGATCAGTTAAGGAACCATCTTTCCACGCGTTACGAATACCTTTTGTAGATATACCACGCACTCAGACCTCGGAGGATCAGTTTTGATCCTTAACTCCACCGTACAATTTTTCTGCTTGAAAATTCAAGTAAAAAATAGAGGGCATTTTTCATAATCGGACTTGAATTGGATAAAATATTATTCATAAATATATTTGTAATACAGAATTAATTTTATTTCGAGGATTAAAGCAAAGAAAAATTTTATTTTCAATTTAATTTCAACATTTTAATTTATAAAGAATGATTTTAAGGTACTTGACTATAATTTCAAATAAAATGGCGTTATTATTCATGTTCATTGTACAAATTTTAAGGTATTTCCTTAAGCATTGTAACATGCTTCGTGGTTTGAAGATTCAAGATTAGAATTTTAAAATCGATAAAATCGATAATATCGAATGAAAAATGCTGATGTCGTGCTAAAAATAGCTCTTACTTATTATTAAAACGTTGGCTTTTCGCTTTTAGTATCTTAGAATTCAGCCATACGCCATCTGGCGGTAAAGCACTACATGTTTCAAGCATAACGTATTACTTAAATAGTATATTTTGTAACAAGTGCGCGAAGCAGATGACTCATCCAGGAGTTGTTTTCACCCGAGCGTAGCGAGGGTGCAAAGACTCCTGGGTGAGTCAACTTCCTCGCGGACTAGTTGCAAACGATATTTTTTAACTCTGCTTGCGAGAAACTAGGGTTTTCTGACGATTTAAGGTTAGAAAGCCCGTGTTTCGCGCACGCAGTGTTAAAAAATTAATTTTTACATTGTGTAGATCTTTTAGTTTTACTCATTGCATCAATATTCAATAAATAGTATATTTATAATCAGAATTTAACATTGACCCTGAGGTGTCGCATTAAATAATATAGAAAGAGGAAAAAATACGCAGCTTTCGCGTGTGATCGTGAAGACACATTCGGGTCGTCGGAGGCTAAGTTTCCTTCATGCGGGCAAGCACAAGCGTAGGTAAAATGAAAAAGTCGTGAAAAGTGAAGAGGCTAATTTTATATACACGACGTTTGATCCTTCTCTTTCGGGTGAAAGTTATGCATATGCACATACTCGAAGCTCATGAATCTCTACCTCTCGCTCTCTCTCTTTCTCTCTATGTTCGAAAGCTTTCGACCAAGTTATATGCAAGTTCGAGGGGTGGTCTTCTCTGACTCTCTCTCTATATATAACTGCAGCGAGTCGCTTGTGCCCATGTGCGGAGAGCTACCTGTCGTTCCGCAGGCACATACAGTCGTATATGGTGATATACGAGTGTGCTTCGAATTTTCAAGTGAAATGAGAGTTTGAACACTTGCGGGAGAGAAAAGAGTATTAGCCCACTCTGTCTCTCCTCTCACTCACTCTCTTCCACTCTCTCTCTTTCTCTCTCTTTTTCCATATAATATATACGGTGAGCTGAGCGCGTACCGTCTTGGAAATAACGAGCAAGAGCACGCGGACCTCGCGCAAACACATTATTTTTATGGCTCAAATTTGAATTTTTCTCACAGCGGCGCAATCTTTACGACGGCGCGCCTACGCACTTATATAATGTATAAATGTGCGAGCGTGTGTGTGTGTACGGACACTTTGCTCTCGGGGTCGAGTTTTATATCCGCGCGTGCGGCCGAGCTTCGCAGCGTGTACTGGATACAACATAAAGCCTGTGCAGCGCACACCACCCGTTTAACACAGCCTCGCTGCACTCGCACTCGCTTCTCGCTCGCTCGCTCGACTCGACGCACGTATACATAATACGGCACATGCTTACGGTATATATCGCGTAAATCAAGAGCTGCGCGAGCACTAGAGTTTAAATGGATATTGTATTATATACAAAAGACATTATGTGCGAGAACTAGAAACCGTGTGCTTGCTGCAGCAGCTTGACAATTGATACGGCGTGCCTCGCTCGATGATGAGCTTTCATTGTTTATCGCGCTCGGCCGAGCTTTTCTTCGCAATTGTTGTTTAAAACTTGACGCGCGTTACATTAGTTAATACTTGCTTCACGTGCGCAACGGAATTGTTTTTTTTTTTTTTTTTTTTTTTTTTTTTTTTTTGTTGAGAACCGAAATTACGCGATGTTTTTTTTTATTATTTTTTTTTGGAAGTTCCTTTGCGCGTGTCACGTCTTTTTCCTTTCCATACTTTTGATGAGGTGCCCACGTGAAATTGCGAGCTCAAAGTAAAAGTACTTTTCCGACCTGGGCATTATTATTACCGTTTCATTTTTTTTAAATCCTCGTTGAAAACGATCCACTCTTTGTCAAATTACAAATGTTTAAATAATCTAATGCAGTTAGCAGCTCTCTTAAAGAATGTTAAATATAATCAAAAAAGTAATACATCAAAATAGCATCAGGAGAATTAAAACTTTTCTCTCGCGGATTACACACCGAGGTTCAATGTATCGCATTAAATTCGCATGCGGAACTAAGTTTCGCGTATTCCATTTCAGGAAAGGATCATCAGAGAGTGAGCGAGGGGGGGAGGGCTTAAACTTTTAATCATGCGACACAGTGGTCAACTGGGTAAATTGAGTTAGTGCTTTTCATTGTATTTTCGTCCTGTATGCTATGTACCGTATATACTTTTTGCAGATACATGACATTTCTAATCGAGGTATTTCTGAAAGTCCAGCAGTAATGCAGTAACCGGGGGGTGGTTAATGAAAATGGGAGCAGATGAAAAATTATCAACTCCGTTGATAATACGGCAGCTTTTTTGAAAAGTTGTAATTTGGAAAATGGATGAAAATCTGTTTAGTAAATAATAATCATGATGCGCAATATACTTTTTAACCGTGATATCTTTCTACAGTTAAATATTGAGATATATCGCATGCATTACGTAAACGATTAACAATTACGTTCGGGACGAGAGGAGCTGTTAAAATTGTGCTTACGTTAGAGTCTTGAGCTTTACCTCGCCAAGGTTTTATCGGGCTCATTCGCCTAATGAGTTTACAGAATTTAAGGGCTCAACAAAGCTTTCATGTAATTATTTTTCCTTCAATGCTAACTTTAAAGAAAAAGCTCGCCATTCACGCTTTTTATCTTAATGAGGAGGCGAATCTTCGCTTTATTGTTGTGCTTAATTTCGGTTAAGTATTATGATCTATTTTTGAAGGGTACTATTTTTTGTCTGTTTATTTTTTCATAAAATTTCAACGAGGTGAAAAAAATAAAATCCAGTCTACTTGGATTATTTTAGCAATTGAAATAGGGTATAAACCTTCTAAGGTATGCATAATTAAATCATCTACTCGTTCATCAGTGATTCTTGTTGCCTAGAAAATATGCAGTAAAGTGTTGGAACAAAAATTATTTCATCTTTTGACCTTTGCCCATTTTCCTACTAAATTTGTGTTCTAGCGAACTATTGATCTCCATATAAGATTGTTTCGTCGAGAATTTAAATTAATTCTAAATTCTCGTAATTACTGTGTAGAAAGGGTGTGGTAAATAAAATGCTCGTTTAAAGAGGAAAAACGTGAAAAAACCTCTCTTTATTGAAATTGATTTTTGAACTGAGTATATAGATGCGATTAGATCAGTGCGTGACGGTAGTCAAAGCTAGACTGTACCGGTTGCAGCTCAGAGCCGCCGAACGACAATGTCCTTTCGACATTGGGGATACATACGCACACCACAGCTGTGAGATAAAGACGCACCGCGCGGACAAGTTACGACGCGTAAGTCAAGTTCGTAAGCGTAAACAAAAGAACACTACTCGCGTGCCGGCCGGCGTTTCGTAAAATATCGATATTAAATTATTTGTAACGCGAACCCGAATCATGCGCCTCTCACTGCCGTTGCTGTAAGCCATGGTGTATGTATATACCTCGGAGAGAACCGAACATTCTCCCCGCGTTGCGATATGATGAGCAATTATGTGATCTATGAATGTTGCATTGGATTTATTGTAATGGTTGATTGTATAGTTTGTACTTTATTGAATCATATGGAAAGAATTGGAATTAAAACGATTAAAACAATAATAAAAATGATGTTATTTGAATCAATTGGTCACTGGAAGTCGGCAAAGTTGAGTTATATTGCGCTTGAATTGTCCGTGGGCAGTCTTGATGGTTGCTACTCGAGTGATTCCGTCTGTGCCAGGATGAATTTCTTCGATTACTCCTAATCTCCATTGCATGCACGGAGTATTTTTGTCAATGATAATTACGACATCATTCAACTTGAGCTCTTCTGAACTTGAGTGCCATTTCTGTCGTTTTTGAAGTTCACTTAAATATTCTAAGTGCCATCGTCTCCAAAAATGCTGTCGAGCCTTAGAAATGAAACGCCAAACTGTAAGCCGGTTTTCAGGCTCATCTTCGACGTCTTCCTCCGGTAACATTGTTAGAGGGCGTCCAATCATTAAATGAGCTGGCGTAATAGCAAATGGGTCGTTCGGGTCCGTTGACAACGACCATAATGGTCTTGAGTTGAGTATGGCTTCGACTTCGATGGCAAACGTGTTGATCTCTTCAAACGTAAGCAATTTTTCTCCTAGTACTCGTTTAAAATGGTGCTTGAAGGATTTAACGGCGGCTTCCCATATTCCGCCGAAGTGTGGAGAGATTGGAGGATTGAAATGCCAAATTATATGTTCTCGAGCCGAAAAGTTTCTAACCTTTCCCTTTAATGCTTCTGAGTTTAATAAGGCATACAATTCTCGAAGTTGATTGTTTGCTCCAACAAAATTGGTACCATTGTCAGAGTATATATGTGATGGACGAGAGCGCCGACCGATGAAGCGTCTGAGAGCACCCAAAAATCCGTCTGTAGAGAGATCGCTGACTATTTCTATATGGACTGCCTTTGAGGACATGCAAACGAATACACATCCATATGCCTTTACCTTACCACGATTTCGAAATTTCTTCTCTTTGATAAATAATGGTCCAAAGTAATCTACTCCTGTATGTTGGAAGGGGTACGATTCCTGAACTCTTGCCGCAGGTAAATTTCCCATTTTACCGTGCATGATTGTCGGCCTGTGCCGAATACAAATTACACAACGATGAATGACTCTGCGCACTTGATTTTTTCCGTCCAAAAGCCAAAATCGATGTCGCAAATTACTCAAGGTAGTCTGAATACCTGCATGATGGAAGTGGACGTGATAATCTTGTATAATGAGATCTGTTACGTGATGATATGACGGTAACAGTATTGGATTCCTTTGATCACTTTTAATTGATGCGTTTAACAGTCGACCTCCCACGCGCAACAAACCGTCTTCGTCCATAAAGGGGTCAAGAGCTGCCAATCGCGTTCGTTTGCTATTTTTCAACTCGTGAAGAATAGAAATCTCTTTTTTGAAACCTTCTCCTTGAATAATTTTGATAATTCTTTTTTCGGTGTTAATTCTCTCCTTTACGCCAACATGAATATCCTTTTTAAAGGTATTAAACATCGAGACTCTCAAGCAATATGACAAAGTGTTCAACAATTTGGAGTACGTCGAAAATCGTTGAAATATTTCGTTTGCGGAAGCAGATAAGATTAAACACCTGTTTTCTCGTACCCCAGGTAAATCTGCTATTGTTTGAATTTGCTCTGATGGCCACTGGTCAGATGATTGGCACAACCAAGTCGGTCCAGAAAACCATAACTGATTCTCTATAAATTCTTGTGGAAATTGTCCTCGTGATAAAGCATCTGCTGGATTTTCATGTGTTCTGATGTGTCTCCATTTTATTCTACCTTTGAGAGCTTGAATTTTTGCCACACGATTAGCTTCAAACGTTTTCAAAGTCTGTGGCTCTTTCTTGATCCACTGCAATACAATGGTTGAATCAGACCAAAATGTAATGCTATGGGTCGAAAATAGTGATGCGAATTCCGTTTCTTCGTATAGATGCACTAGTAATTGAGCTGCACATAATTCTAAGCGTGGTATTGTGATCTTTTTTATTGGCGCAACTCTCGATTTTGAACAAGCTAGACTTATTCGTACTTGACCTGTTGTATTTTCCGATCGGACATATATACACGCACCATAACCAGCTTGGCTTGCGTCGCAGAAACCATGAATCTCAATACGCGTTGGGTTCTCTATCAACAGACGACGTTCAAATGATAATTTTCTTATCAATGGAAGTTGGCTGATGATCGTTTTCCAATAGGTATATATTTCTTGAGGAACTGATTCATCCCAATCTAGTTTCGCCTTCCAACATTCTTGTATTAATCGCTTAGCTTGTAATATTATTGGACCTATGAGTCCTAAAGGATCGAAAATTTTGGAAATATTAGATAATATTATTCTCTTCGTCACCTTTGCCGAAACGTCAATTTCTTCCACTTTAAATAATAATTCGTCAACTTGTGAATTCCACACAACGCCTAATGTTTTTAAAATGGCACTCGTATCAACAACGCAGTCCAAATCTACGAATTTAGCTTCTATATTATCTAGTGCATGATGATGGTTTGATGACCATTGACGTATGTCAAATCCTCCACGCCGCAACAGAGCAATCACTTCATCTCGAATATTAATTACCTCAGACAATGAGTCCGCACCTGTCAATAGATCATCAACGTACAAGTCATTTTTCAAAATGTATGCAGCCTTTGGAAAATCCATGCCCTCATCATCAGTCAGCTGTTGAACTGTACGAATTGCTAAATAAGGTGCAGCTGATACTCCGAATGTCACAGTATTTAATTGAAATGTCCGTATTTTGCCATCGTGATACCAAAATATTCGCTGAAATCTTCTATCATCTGGGTGGACTAAAATCTGTCGGTACATCTTCGCTATATCAGCTGTAACGACGTAAACATATGACCGGAAACGTAAAAGATGACTGAACAGTTTGGCCTGAATCGTCGGTCCAATCATCAATCTATCATTTAGTGAAACTCCATTGGAAGATTTAGCAGAGGCATCGAAAACGACTCGTACCTTTGTAGTATTACTCGATTCCTTCATCACAGCGTGGTGAGGCATGTAATAACCAGGTATCGTTTCGTCATGGATCAAAGACATATGTCCTGTATTTATGTATTCTTGCATTACCTTGCAGTATTCATTTTTTAAATTCAAATTTGAATCAAGTTTTCTTTGCAATGTATAAAAACGTTTTAATGCTTGTTCGCGCGATTCACCCGAATTATTTTTATCGTCCTTGAAGGGTAATTTGACAATGTATCGACCGCTGTTATCTCGAGTCGTATGATTTTTGAAATGTCGTTCACATAATATTTCTTCGTGAGACTTAGAAGAATCCTTGTCTAAATCTTCGATCCTCCAAAATTTTTCCAATTGCTCAGATATGCCAAGCAAATTACAAGAAACATGATTTCTCTGTTTTGGTTCGTCAAGACCACCGGCTACAACCCATCCTAGCTGCGTTTTTTGTAGTATCAAGTCACCTCTTCCCTTGGATAAATTATGTTGTCCGATGCTGAGTAAAGATAAGGTCAAACCTGCTCCAATTAAAATGTCCACTGGTCTTGGTAAATGAAATTGAGGATCGGCAAGTCGAATGTTTGAGGGTATGTGTACCGACTCTCGAGGAAAAACTTCATCTGGAACGAACTCAGCAATTCTAGAAATTGTCAATGCCTTGATATTTCTTTGAAATGTGTTGTTTCGAGATCGAATGTGCAAATCAACGCTGCTTGTCGAAGTTGTATTCATATCATTTATTGCACCAATAGGCACTGAACAAGGATGTAATGGCAACTTTAATTGTCGTGCTAGTCTTTCGGTAATAAAATTTGCTGTAGCACAAGTATCTAATAGCGCTCTTGCTTCGATCAACTCTCCTCTTGCGTTCTTCACAACAATCATGGCACTCATCATCAATTGAGCACGAGGAGATTGTGACGCTAAACTTAAACTTCGTTTTCCTAGTCATAATGAGGCATCTTCATTGTTGCTATTAGGCGAATTCGCATTGGTGTTATTTGATTTACGTGCACGGGTTGAGTTGCCTTTTACTGATTCATCGTGTAACAAAGTATTGTGGAATCGATCGCATAATTTGCAATGAGACAAAGAGCACGGGCCCGTGTGCGTTCGTAAACAATTACGGCACAATTTTTTAGATTTCACAACTTCCCAACGTTGTTGTACTTTAAGTTTTTCAAATTCTTCGCACTTATATATAGGATGAGCATTCTTACAATATGCACAATTATTTTGAAAACTTGTTACAAATGTTTTAGCGCCTGAATCAATTTTGCGTGATTTTGAAGAATTATTATGAGGATGTTCATTACGGCGTTTATTGTTAAAAGATGCGTTCCTTTGTACAGAATTAGTATTCAATGAATTTATTCTGAAAACGTACTCACTGATGAATTTACACAATTGTTCAAATGTCGGGAACTCATCAAAACTAAGTGTTTCTTCCCACTTCATTCGGACATCGATAGGAAGTTTTTTCTCGATGGTTCGAACAATCATTCCCTTGTCTATCTTTACCTTGAGAGATTCAAGCATACTTATATGTTGTCGTGCGTCATCAATAATCCTGGTCAAGCCTTCAGATGACGCTACAGTGAGTGAAGGAATGTCGATGATACCGTCGTAGTGCTTTGCAATGAGTACGCGCTGTTTCTCATACTCATCCGTTAATGTTTTCCAGGCTCTGGCATAATTTTCGGCACTTGCATCGTACAAAGCGAGTTTATTGAATGCTGAGCCTTTCAAACAGTCTCTTAAATATAAGAACTTTTTCAAATCGTCAACATCAGTACGTGCATCTATCATGGATAAGAATGTGTTCTTGAAAGATAACCATTTCTCGTGATTACCGTCGAACTGCGGAAGATTGGCGATTGGAAGTTTTACTAATTGTTGACGCTCAATCATCGTTGAATTTCCAACTGGTATACCAAAACTTGAAGAAGTACCAGGATTCGAAGAATTTGGGATCATGAGCGTTCTAACCCTCGTTGCCATTTCGTAATATTCATTTTCGACGATTCGTGCCTGATCAGCCTCGAGATTTCCTTCTTCATTAACTAGTCCTTCTACGAGCGATTCGTATTCTCTAAACAAGTCAGTCACACGCTCAAAGCGAATACTGGCATTCAAGGGATCGACTTCATTATTAGATATAAGACCTTTCAAAACGGTCAGCCTGCCCTTCAAGGTTCCTCGCTTACGTGCGACCTCGCTAGCCATTGTTATTTGCCAATTTATGCACAATCGTTACTAACACTTCACAATTATTCACTTTCACTTTATTGTCAAAATATTCAATGAACCAGGGGATTCGTATAATTGTACTTGTATGATCACTATGTCTTTGTGTAATTACTCACACCTCACAGGAGGCACCAAAATGTTTCGTCGAGAATTTAAATTAATTCTAAATTCTCGTAATTACTGTGTAGAAAGGGTGTGGTAAATAAAATGCTCGTTTAAAGAGGAAAAACGTGAAAAAACCTCTCTTTATTGAAATTGATTTTTGAACTGAGTATATAGATGCGATTAGATCAGTGCGTGACGGTAGTCAAAGCTAGACTGTACCGGTTGCAGCTCAGAGCCGCCGAACGACAATGTCCTTTCGACATTGGGGATACATACGCACACCACAGCTGTGAGATAAAGACGCACCGCGCGGACAAGTTACGACGCGTAAGTCAAGTTCGTAAGCGTAAACAAAAGAACACTACTCGCGTGCCGGCCGGCGTTTCGTAAAATATCGATATTAAATTATTTGTAACGCGAACCCGAATCATGCGCCTCTCACTGCCGTTGCTGTAAGCCATGGTGTATGTATATACCTCGGAGAGAACCGAACAAAGATGAACAAACGAAAATTTATGTTGAAATAATTTAGTCCTCGTGAAATTATTAAATGAACATCAAGCAAGGAAAAATGTATGAACCATTGAAAAAAATATACTACTTGAAATTTCAAAATCATTCAAAAAGAAAGCTTGAGCGATAAATAATGCAGTAAAAAAATTCAGCCCCCGACTCCCTAACAGTGGTTTTTTTCCTTCGCTCGACTTATACATACGAGCAGCGTATTCCGATTGAGTGAAAGTTTACGCGGTTAAGCTTTGAGCGCGCGACAAAACTTGCAAAAAAAGCCAGTTGTATACATAGCTGTATACCGAGAGTATATTCGTACGCCGTGCTCATGCATACATACATGCATGCGCACGAGAAAAAAAAAGAGCAAGTGCTAGGTAAAGAGAGTGAAAGAGTTTGGTGTTGGATGATGCGATTGATTTTTTGTTTTTTTTTTTTTTTACTCTCGCGGGCGGGCGGGCGCGCTATATCGAGTTTCACGAGCTCTGCCGCGCACAGGCAGGCAGCGATAGGGCGAAATTTCGCTGAAGTAACGGAATACTTTTATTTGACATTTCAATTTGCTTTTTCATTTGATTTTGCACGATATAACGTATGCAGCGTCGTGTGCGCATACCTATACACGCGTTCGCGAGAGCGGGAGAGAAGAAAAAAAGAGCGAGAGTTAAACCGAAGGGAAACTATCAAATATTTGATTATAGCGTTATTTTTTTTCGAAGAAACTTTAGAATCGGTGTTATACACAGCCGCGCGTTATAGGCCGGAACACGAGATAAATAAAGATGTATTTTGATCTCCAAAGCTCTCGCGAAATTCGAAAGAAAAGTCGAGAAAAAGTATTTACAAGCCTAACGATACGTGTAGGATATAAAAAAGGGAAACGTGCATGTGTGCATCGTGTGTGTGTGTGTGTGTGTATGCGAGCCTGCGGATCACTTCCTGCACATCTTATGGATAGAGCGACTTCGTCCTCGATCACTCCGAGCTTCTCCATTTTCTCTTTCTCCTCTGCCCAGTCACCCGGCTGAGTATATGTACGTAAGAGTCCGGAACTTTATGAATGATTCGCCAATATAGCGAGAGTAGTAAGGAAAGAAGACGTGCCCACGGCTGCTGCTGCTGCTTCCATCGAAGCAGCAAATGCTACAGCGGCAGAACTTCCTTGTAATTTATATATACGTACATAGCTATGTAGGGCTTTCCGGGCCGACGAGAGGGAGCGAGGAGGGTAGGGGACTGCGAGGGATGGAAAGAGAGAAGACGAGCTTGGAGCTTGGATGTGTATAGCATTCATAATGCTATTCGCGCGCGGTTTTCCGTATTGTAGCTGCTGCTGCTGCTGCCCGCCCGCCCGCTGCGACCGGTAGCAGCACGTCGAATCCTGAAATTTTAATCAGACCGAGAAGGCACGTAAATGCACATACATCCCCGCGCGAGCTGCTGCTGCTCCATCTTCTCCACCTCTGGCTCCGCCTATATGTATACAGTATAGTATGTGAGCGTCGCACGAGGCGACGTGCAAGTACGACAAAAAGAGCTACTGCTGCTGCTTGTGTTGCTTCTGTTGCAGCCGCCAGCGTCAACCCCGATTGTATACTACTATGCTATACTACTGGCGCGCTCCGCAATAGAACGGAATTATACAACAAATTTTCTCCGACACAGAGGAAGAGAGAGAGAAAGAGAGAAAGCAGCTATTCAAGAATAATTGACTTAGACGCTAGTTTAGTTGTGCTCAATGGAGCGCGAAAAGTACCTTTTGTTGATGAGGAATGAGTATTAATAAGCAAATGCAAGTTGTGTGTCTCAACAGGTATTCAATTCGATGATTGGTGTGAGCGTAATCATCGAGATAGCTCAAAGAAATACTGCTTCTTCGTTTAGCATAGCTCGATTTATTCATTGATTCGGATATCGCTAACGTCAATTGCAATAATCTGCGTATTGATATTTTCACTTTTAACTAAATTATAATTGAAGTACCATTAAAACGTATCAATTAATTACGTAGAGATTGAAAACCAAATACAAAAAGATGCACGAAATAAAGGACGAAATTCGCATAGAGTTGTCTGGCGCGAAATTTCGAAATTTCGCGCTACGCGCGTTCAACGCCAGTTTGCGGAGTGCAGAGACGGTCGCCTGACCCGGCCACCAGCAGCAGCAGCGCGAATATATTCGCACGCGAATTTCTCGCAAAAGTTGGCGCAGCAGCGCCGGTCCACTCCACGTCGCCATTGTAAGGTCGCGCTTACGTATAGGCGCAGAGCGAAATCATATTCGCGCAGCCCAATACACACGCATACAAACACATATGGCTTAGTACAAACGCACCGTTGTGTAGTAGCTGTGTGCACTCATACAACTCGGTCTGCACGTGAATCGAGTGTAACCCTTATCTCGAGCCTCGAGTTTGTGTAAACAATCGTGTTGTACCTGTCGTGTGTTTGTTCTAATTTAGCCTCCGATTTTGCACCTTGTTTGCGCGTGCTGCTGCCTGCGAAACAATCGAACCGTCGCGTGCACAGTAAACCTCGCGACGACCCACTGCCTTAGTTTATACCCATTACGAACCTTGACGCTTTGCGATACGCAATAAGCAATTAAGTCATTTTATATACCTGTATAGTGTACGCGAGTGCAGCATCTCGCTTCTATTTTATATAAATTGTCGCGAAAAATGGCGGACAGAGCGAACGGCATGAATCAGGAGCCAGATATGCGCTCGGCAGCCGAAAAAGAGGAGGACAAGCAGCAGTCGGAAAAGGCCAACGAGTACGTCAGAGAATTGCTACAGGAGAAACATCAGCTCGAGAATGCGCCGAACGCCGTTCGGCTTCTCGATCAAGGTGCGTGCGTGTATCTCTGTCTCTTTTCAATATTTCTTCTAATGCTATCCCATCCGACCAGCTGTCAAAACGTTAATGGCTTTTCGACTTTCGATCGCGCGTGGCCTTAATGAGTACTTTCTTTGCCTGGAGTATTCATTTGAATGACGCGATTCAACCTTCGCTTCGGTACCCAGCTGACGCATTGAGGTTAGGTTTGCTATGAATTATAAAAAAACGAAGTGTCAGTAATTTACTCTGCCGAGAGAAAAACAACGGAAATTAATCAACACAAACAATAAATAAAATGTAGTTTAAATGTCTCTTACATCCTTTTTTGATACAAAAATCAATGCCTCAATAAAAGATTAGTTAATTTATATTTGAAAATGATAAATGACTGTGATAAATCATAAGTAATAAATAACCATGTGTAACAGATCTAATATGTGTAAACATTCTATCTTTAAAAGTATTTGTCTTGTTATTTGCCATCAAGTGTTATGTTTTTACATTCAAATTTGTCTGAATTTATTTATTTTTTGACTTGACTAGGGTATAGTGGTATAGTTTAAAATATTACTACACAGAATAAGTATATTCATTCTACCTTTAAGAATTTTTATTTGCTATTCGTCTTCAAACTTCTATTCAAGCTTATTCAGGACATTTATTTGATGATTATAGTATTGATGTAGTATTGGAATTGAAAAGTATTAGCAGAAGTGGTAGTTTGTGATTATGCAACAGATTCATTTTTATTCTATTAATATCCTCTAGTTTTTAACAAGTTTTTGAAATCTTGATCATACAGTTTTTGTGCGTTAAATTATTAGTTAAAATAATAAAACATATTGGAACCTTAACCATTTTCTATAACTGTTTAATTATAGTATCAAGCTAACTGTTACAACTGTGTGAAAAAAAAAATAAATATCGTGGGCATGCTTTGCCTTATTTATTCAAGTTATATTTTCTGAGCAATTATATGTATCTATCTCTATTGAACACACATGCAAACAATAATAGAATGAATCATTTTAAATTTTTAACAGACTAACAGCATTCTATTGTACTTCAAACTCTACATTTTGAGTAGTTTGTGTTGCAAGTATCGCTAATGTTTCTATTTCTTAGCATCTTGATCAAGGAAGCTATTTATTTCCTGTAATTGTGCAAGAATCATTTTTTCTTCAACTGAATTTATAGAGATAATATCTGACTTGATTAGTAATTCAATTTACATATAGGATTAATTGTAACTTGTAGAAAGCTCTTTGTCAATTGATTGCCAGCCTCTTCTTGTCGACGTACCCAAAATTATATAAAGAAATGTGTTAAGCTTTTGATGAACATGGAGTTTTCCTTTGATTTGAAAATAATTTTTTGATTTTAGTAGTAAAATCAAATAATCATATTTTATTAATTAAAAATAATAGATATAAAATTTTTGAAAAAGCTCTATGCAAAAAATAAAATCTTTATAGCTGTGCAAACTCATACAAAATTTGTATTTGTCTTTCCTAACTAAATAAACGTGTAAATTAAATAATTAGAATAGAAAAACCATAAGAATAGTAATAGTTTCTTTTCTGAACTTTCAGAGAAATTGCATTTGCACTTCAAGTAATTAAGTGTGTTTTATACACAAAATAGCATGTGTGAATAAACAAGTGGTATTGAAACTTTGCTATCTTAGTAAGGTGGATCTGTTTAAGGAAATAAATTCGTGTTTCACGATCTTTGATATCTTAATGTTCAATCTTATTTTTCGATACAAGCCTAAACTCGTACGTGTGCTTGCGACCCAGATTTTTTTAACTTGTTTTGTACCTCAACATCTTCCATTTCCTATTATTCTGCCTTGCCTTGACAAGGCGTCGAGCCAGATAACCTAATTCGATTAAGCATGTACGAAATTCTGCAATGGGTTTGTCAGAGATAACTTATAAAGTTTCTCGATTTCTTTGGCGATGGCGCGGCTGCGGGGATGTCTCACTGGGCCCTGGACCTATATGCGCGCGAAAAGAAGAAGAAGAAGAAGAAAGCGTGCGTGGAATCGGCAGTAAGGAGGCAGATAGAGAGAAAAAGTTTTTGTGACAGAACTCGTCGTCGCTACTTGGCAATGCAACGAGCTGAATGAGAAACTTGCCGCTCGTCGGAACGAATTTGAATATTCGACGCGCAGTAGCAGTATAAGGTACCTTGCGGTGTAGTGGCGGAAAGACATTTCTATACGGGCGGCGGTTACGTGTCCTGCAGAATGACGCTGTCGAGAATTGAAGAAAGAAAAATTCTGTCACACATTTTGCAAAGAATGAAGATTCATCCAGATGTTGGTTTGATGTTTTCTAGGGCATCCGCAGACCATCACACGCTTGTTTGGAACTTCAGGGATTATGTACGAATATCGCGTTTAAAATTATCGCTGGCTAGTTAGATCAACTTTCCTGAAATTTCACGAACCGAGTTTTGCATTTTATTACCGGATGATTTCGGGGTATTTCTTCGAAATGACAGTAAATTGACTATAAAATTTGGCGTGATCCAATTTTATTTATTCCCGAACTTTTTAAAAGACCTAAAGTTTTTAATGAAGCAATGAAGAGTACAGGTAAAGGCTAAAAAATAGAAGTTCGCGACGAGTTGAGAAAAGAAAATTCACACGCTCACTAAAAGCTTTATTCAGCGTGAAATTATTCGCTTCATTTACGGGCCATTAATCATCGCGTCGAGTTTTTAACCATGGCTGGACGTTTATTGTCTGGCGCAGTTGGTCATGAGACGATTCATTCGACACCCTACACAAGGCGCAATTGTTCCTAGTTCGCTGGCTCGCAAAGCTCTTTTCTTACACTATAGGCCATTGTTGCACAAAGTTTAGAGAGAATACGTGAGAAGAGAGTGAAGTTTATCAGCTGTACTTTGGAAGAAGGAAAAGATTCACGTAGTAAGAGGGTTAAAAAGAAGAAGAGAGAGTCGAAGGAAATATGGGCTGCTAAGAAAAAGTAAATGGAACTGTAGAACATAAGGCCTATAAGCAAATCGTCTTGAGAATGAAGCAAATTTAATAGTAATTGTTCAGAATTCTGTGAATCTTATTTTAATATTCGAGAAAAATGATATTGGGCCACGTCAAAGAGGAAGATTGATACAACTAATTTTTTTGAATTAATTAAATAAATTCGCGTGATTATTGAGGTAGTTCATGTCGCGTTTCCGGGACTTACTACCGAAATATGCAGATATCGGAAAGTATTAACGTTATATTAAATCGAAAAATGCATGTCTATAATATGAGATAATTATATGAAATGGCTTAAATTAGAAAAAGTATAGTATTGATTTATTGATGGTGCTATAAGAAAATATGACAACATATAATAAAGAAAATGTAAAAAGGATTAAACTAACAGCATGCGATCCAAGAACTACGTAATTTTACATATGTTTAAACAGTCAAAGGTCAATGTAATCGAGATCTTCAGAGTTTTATAGAACCTTTGCTACAAGTATCATTTATTTTGTGGCTAAATAGTAACTGGAATGGATTTCAAGACTTAATTTACTCTGTTACTGAGCATACTAAAATCTTTCTTACTTAAAGGAAAGTAACTTTTCATAATAGCACAGTTTTTTTTAAGCATCTATTGGACGTCGTTGCAATTAATTTCGGATCGCTAAGTCTCTTACTAGCAGTGCTCTGCTCCGGCATTAGTAACAAGCAACTTGGGCCATTCTCGCAGCAGTACGTGTATAGTGTAGTAAAGTTGCCGGTGCGGAACTGCGTGATAGCGTCCGCGTAGCAACTTACTAGCAGCTTCTCCTTTGCACCGCTTTTGGTCATGGGTCATCTCTCAAAAGGGATGTGGAAACTCGGTCGATGAATTTCTGAAGACATTGCAACCGAGCAGCAGCATAGGTTGTTGAACGATTGCCAAAGCTACGCTCACGACGTATATACACGTATATATTCTCACTATTCTTTATCTCACGCGAAACGATAGAGGGCGAAAAAGGAAAGAACGAGCAAGAGAGAAAACGTGTGCGCGTTAATGACCAAAAGAGCAATGTTGATCTCATCGTCATTGTCATAATTTTTGTTGGATTTACTTGAAAGAACTCAGCTAAAACATAATGGAATCTAACACAAATCACTCTATAGAATAATGTTCACATGCACGGTCTCGTGTTTTTTTATTTAGTCACGTGAATATAATGTGACCTGAATAAATTTTATATTGTAACAAATTAATGAAACTGAGTTTGAAATTTTTAACCATACTAAGAAAAATATCTCGTAATAATTTAGCATTAGAATTTATTCGAGTATTATTAAATTAAATTGTGTTACTAAAACAATTATCACAAAATTATGCATATTAAAGTTTCTCATGTCAAATATTCTTAGACACAATCTTTAACGAAGCTTAAAATTTCGCAATAAGCTGCGGTTGAGATGAAGAGACCACAAAGAGCAGGAAAGGCGCTCTCTGCGTACGACCAAATTGCTCTACTATCTCTCTGTATTCTGTTCTCTACTCAGTGCGCACCTTCTCAGAGCGAGATAAATTTTCAATTTGTGGCAATCCAGGGCAAACAGTCGTGCAAAGTTCTCGTTTTCTCTTTTTTTTTCAACTCTCTAAGGGTTGTATCATAATGGTAGTAGGCATATCCTTCTTCCCTCTCTCCCTCTCACTCACTCTTTCCTGCCGAAACCGTGAAAGCTCTAAGGAGAGACTCGAGTTGCGGCCATGGACTTTTATGTAAACTATGGACTTCGTTAGGCTCACGCTTGGCCTTGTTTCGCTTGATATAGTCCTAGCACACTGTAATTAGATCAAAATTTTGTTGTTGCGACGCAAAGGAACTCTCGAGAGTTGACCAATGTCCTCCATGCTTTATTGACACGACTGCGGTGTGAAAACGACTCTCTTCTACTTTGAATGGAATTACAGACTTGATTTTCTCGCCTCATAGTGTTGCTGATCACGTCTTGTCAACTAACTTCTAGATGGCGC